GAAATTTTGGAAGGAGTTAAATTTGGCGAATTGCTAAATTTTGGTGATCGGCAAATTTTAATTTGGCAAATTTGTGGCCATGTGCCATTGTATAATGGCTCAAAATGGTGGATTTTATTTTTGGCGAATGGCTATCAAAACGCCACACTTAACTCCCTCCAAAATTTCCCACTATAGGGTATAAGAAATATAAGTGGATTCTACATGTACATATTCTGGTTCATGTACTTACTGGTCCGTCCATATTCTGGAGCTGCATACGAAGATCAAACAGTTCAGCAGAACTAAAGAGGATAGTGTTCAGTTCCCGTACCATCAGTGAAGCAAATGATAGTTTCTCTTCAGTTGACAGTATCTCAGCTAGAGTACAGTAGACTGCCTTAGCATCTACAAACACACACAAGTGCCTAATGGGAGGGAGAGGGAGAGACAAAGGGAGAGACAGACAGATAGAGAGATAGAGATAGAGAGAGACAGAGAGAGGGAGGGAGAGGGAGGGAGAGAGGGAGGGAGGAGTTTGAGTAATACATGTACAGTATAGTGTATACATGGATACGTATGCAAGTATTGTATACAAGGTTCCACTTCCGTCCCAAACTGAACTGGGATATAGTATACATGTACTGTAGCTAAAAAATCTGGATTCATAAAATTTGGCAAATTGTTTCTCAAATTTGGTAACTAAATTTAGACAAAATTCTGACTATGCACTACTAATGAGATGCCATAAAAATAGAACCGTTAATAATCACATTTTGTCAAAATTCACAAAATATAACCTCTACATGTACCATTACACAAGCACCATATATACAGTTAGAGTTACCTAATAATGAGACTCCCTTTGTTCTCTAGTAATATCCTGTCACTGTTGAACATTTTCATCAATTCAACCAGAAACAATTTAAAATATTTATTCAAAATAATAATGGCCGTACTCTCCTGCTCCTGACGTCCCTAGAATTGGAATATTAATAATAATGATAAGCCACACCCACTCCGCTACCTTTTTCTTGGTGGCTACAGGAACATCACACGTCTCATGACCAGCGTCTGACATTGATAGGGTAGCTATCACTTTGAGGGTTAAATTTAACACCTGAAGACAAGAAGAAAATACATTATTAATTAAAATTGATACCGTACGGGTATAAAATTTCGTGGGGTATTAAATTTCTCGGATTTCGTGGTTGACTTCTCAACCAGGAAAATTAATGCTATGGAAATGCTCACTGAGCATGCACAGCATGTGAAAATCAATGACCTAATGAAAGTGCACGTGAAAAAACGTGAAATTTAACCCCCTCGGAATTAACGAATTAAGAGCTTTTCACTAAAACACAAAATTTTATACCCTCGGAATTTTCTACCCGTACGGTATACTC